CTCTCTCTCTCTCTCTCTCTCTCTCTCTCTCTCTCTCTCTCTCTCTCTCTCTCTCTCTCTCTCTCTCTCAACAGAGGGCGGAGCTTCAGGTGATCAGCAGCTGATCTGATCTCTCTCGTCCGGTTACACTTCACTCGCATTTATGTCCATATCGATCAGATCCAGCTCTCCTGATCGGCCTTTATAGAGAGCACCGATCAAACTATTAAGAGTGAATATCGGCCGATAATGATCGGCGGCCGATTGATCGGAGCATCCCTAATTATTACCGGACATTTTGAATTTACCGTTTTTTTATAAGTGTTACCAGCTAAAAACCGTTAATTACCGGCTAACGGAAACCCTGGTACAGGGGGAAAAATTAGAAGGATAAGAGAGTTTCAGAGAGGGAGTAAGGGGGCTACTGGAGGCAGACACAGAGAGAGGCAGGAAGAAGCACAGAGAGACAGAGAGAGAAAGAGACACACAGAGAGACAGAGATAGACGCACAGAGAGAGAGAGAGAGAGAGAGAGAGAGAGAGAGAGAGAGAGAGAGAGAGAGAGAGAGAGAGAGAGAGAGAGAGAGAGAGAGAGAGAGAGAGAGAGAGAGAGAGAGAGAGACAGAGACAGAGAGAGACAGAGACAGAGAGACAGAGAAAGACAGAGAGAGAGAGACAGAGAGAGACAGAGAGAGACAGAGAGAGAGAGAGGAGCAGAGTGAGCGAGGCGGAGGCAGAGCGGCAGTATCTGATCTCTTCTGGCTCTGTGGATGCAGCTTTCCTACTGTCCAGTTTTATCCTGAAGGGACTCACTAACAAGCATCATTGAATGATGCACGATATTAAACCCCAGCCACTCAGGGTTATCACCTGTGGGCTCTATGCAACCTTTGGGGATTGAGATTACAAAGCAGGGACGGTAAGGACCCCAATGGACCCACCGCTCACTGAGGAATGGTCTCTTTCTAAAGGTAAGCAAACACACAAGGCACAATGATGCACTTAACCCGTTTTTGCTGTTCTGATTGCAAGGCAATGTATTGCATAAAGGAACTGTAAAATCAACAAACACTGCCTGCTGACATATATATAGAATAATTAGACAAAATGAGTGTCTGTCGAACAGCATGAATATGGGTCTTCAAAAGATTAGCCGAGTTCACTGCCTTCCACAGAGACCAGTTCTCCTCTCATACCAACACAAAATGAATCAGAATGTTTAATGCCACCCACAGGACAGATTCATGTTGTAGAACATACAGCTAAAAGAAGGGATGAGCTAAGGCAATTTTGCACTTTGTGCATTTAAAAAGACTGAAGACTTCACTGCAGCAGGCATTAAACAAGAAGCAGTCGGGGACAGGACATGAAGGCTTAGAGCCAATGTAAGGCTGCACTTAGGAATTATTATATTGTGGTTTATTATTTGATGAATTGTTTAGTCTATAAAATGTGAGAAAATATTGGAAGAAAAACCCTCATCAGTTTTTTTCATTTTAAAATGATATTTAATTTATAGAGTAATATCTGAAAAATATATATTATACCTTGCTTAAACCTCTACAGAAATGCAGCCTGGGGTGTTTCTGGAACCTGGTTGTTGATAGTTATACTGTAGGTGGTTGGCTGGTTGAGGGCCGTATACGTTTTGCAAAGTAAAGGATACATCTTTCAACATGTCACCTTTATCTGCAGCTGGTTCATCTCCCTGTGTGTAGCCGTTGTTGATTTGAATCAACCGCTGTAAAATTTGTTGCGTGTTGCTTTTATTATTTGAATTACAATATGTACTGTCAATAGAAAGTGACTAATACTAAGAAAGCCGGCAGGAAACCATTTTACTGTTTTCACTTTCAGTGCTCATTTATTGACCAGCACATGACAAGAGAACCATCAAAGATAAAAGGCAAACTGATTAAAAACAGAAACAGGCGTCCAATTAGCACACAAGGAGTCTGTCAGGGGATGATCAAATAATTAAAATAAGGTGGGAGACATGATGCAATATATATACACCGTGGGGGAGGGGGCTCTGATTGTGACGTGCCATGTTGATATAACTGAAATATGACCTGCTTCTCCTTTGCAGGATCAGAGGTGGAATGTGTCTGAGAAGGGGCATAAGGAAAGGAGATGATGAAAATAAGTCATAACATGATTCACTATTCCTCTTATGCAGTTTATGAATTTATATGGAAATGAAGGCTGTGAATGTTCAAGAATCAAAGAATCAATCTTTTCAATTGTTCTCCAAGGATATGACCTACACACTGCTATCTGGCCTTCATTGCAACTCGATGTGAAGGGTTTAACCGGGTCAAGTCCAGAGGAGCAACCACACACACTATTCTTCTTGGAACTTTCTACCTGTATCAAGACATGGTGACAAAGTGTGGTGGAGCACCTCGGGACGTGTTGAGACACGTACAATACCTGAAAAGTGGAGAGAAGTGGAGACAGTAGGGTTGGCACTGGCATCATTTTCAAGAGGGAAGCAATTGAAGGCAACAGTCCAAGGCCAGGACAATGACAGAGCAATGCCTGAAAGGAAGCATTGATGAGAGTGCACTGCACTGATGTTGCCAGCCAACATAGCTCTCTGTGTTTCACAAACAGACTTTTCCCTTTAGCTGAGTGGTGTTACTATCCCCAAAGCAAAAACTCATGGAAGATTTTTTATCTTTATTGTCCGTCAAATCGTAATATGTTCAAAAGAGATTTTTGTAAATCAATTGGATCAAGTGAAGAGCCATCTTTTCACGTCAGAATATGGTGGGATGGTTTGACATGGCCTACAAAGTTCCTTCTGGTCGCTTCGATTGCTGCTAAACTGTAGAGGACACTGTTGGGAGGAAGTGATGAGTTTCCGCCCAATATCAAACCTATACTCAGTTCTTTTCAGTCCAAACCTTAGGGCAGGGGTGTCAAACTCAATTTCATCGCGGGCCACATTAGCATTAAGGGCCGGTTGTAACTATATAAATATACATATATAAATAAATAATAGATATATAAAATAATGTGTTATATGACATTATTGCCTCTGAATTGGATTATTATCAGTTAAGGTAATAACTTAGAAATTATCTACATCAGAAAGCAGAAGTCCAGGGTAAATAATTGCAACTCTCTTCAGTGCGCATGTCACAAAACGAGATGTATTGTGGGACATGTAGTTTATGGGCAACCTGCTTCTGTAAAGTGCCATCTAACCGTATAATAAACGTATTATATTCTTTGCAAGCTCTTGTGGGCCATAAAATGAAGTCGCAGACCGGATTTGGCCCCCGGGCCTTGAGTTTGACTCCCCTGCCTTAGGGGAACCAAGGTTCATGAAACAATAATATAGTATTCTTGCAATTCTCAAATGGCTTGTTTTCTGGTCAGATTATTGTTGTTTGTCATCCTGAGAGGGTTTAAGACAGTAAAAGAATATCTCTGTCATTTTGGCTAAGGGTGTCAGGAGGTTAAGATTCAACCTGTTCTTGTACAATGTGTTATCCAACTCCATCTGAAGGGAACTTTTGTCCATTGAGAAGGAGAACAAAAATCTTTGAGAGAGAAAGCCAAATCCTGTAAATGTACTCATATCTGTACACTGGTCAATGCATGTGTTAAGGGGGTGGACTTTCCCATTTAGTTTAACGCAGACCCCAATGCCAATGTTTGAAAGATGGCAAAGGGTTGCAAAAATATTAGCCTTAGACAATTAAAGCAATATGCCGCAAAACGATCTGCAAATTAGTATGGCACATTTCCTATTATATAGTACTTGACGTTGACAGCATTCTAATATCAATATGGTCACAGACTTCACATTCTACAAAAAAGAAAATGGCGTTTGGTGTTTTTGTGCAAAATATAGCGAAGGTTGAAATCTTTTTAATGTTTGCGATAGCGGTGTTGTCACAGAAAACAGTTTCCCTCCAAATTGTATTTAAGCTTTCTGAAGAAATCACCAATGAACCCTGAATCCCAATGATATCAAGATGAGCTATATGCTAAGCACTCCTTACCAACATACATAATACATGTCTGGTGACTTCATGAATTATAGTACTAAGAGTAGATTTCTTTTTTAAACATATTGTTATTATTGTTAATACATTTAATTTAGCTTTCATCTTTATCCAAAATGGCTTAGGATAAATGCATAAACCATTAAGATACACTGAGAACAACAAGAAACATGCAGATGTATTCAATTCAAATAAGCCATACCATTGTAAGTGCTGGTGCATTAGCTTTAAATGAGCTTAACTCTTTAGGTGTTGATATTTAAAAAAAATGTAGGATGATAGGTGAATACCATATTATCAGAAGCCCATTGCCAAGGCAGCACCAGCTTTTTAGTTCCCCGGTCCTGTGACGGTTTACCAAATCTGTTTTAAAAAATGGAATGCCACATTTTTTGAATATTTGTTGAATACAGCTTTGTCTGCCATCTGTTCTCCAGGCCTCCTATTAACAGGATAATGCACACATCCCCAGTGTGGTTCTCTGCAGACACCATGAGCAACATGACTGTGCTCGACACTGCTGACCCGTATGACCTTGACATGACCTCAGACAAGGCCATTTACCCTGTCAGCTTCCAGGTAATGCTGCAGCCTCACATCTCAGATATTGATATCTTCAGAAAACTGGTACATTTCCAGGTCATTGTAGGGTCGTGAACTTGGATTTATGATATTTTAACAAACCGTTTAAAAGATGTCCTGGTTAATAAAGTATGAATTATATTTTCCACATTACAATGAGCATGCACTATTATGACCAAAATATAATTGAATGTGACACTTAATGCCAACATGTTCTTTCTGTTGGTAGGTTTCTTTGACAGGCTTCCTAGTTTTGGAGATAGTTTTGGGCTTGAGCTCCAACCTGACTGTGCTTGTCCTCTACTGTATGAAACAGAACCTGATCAGCTCCGTCTCCAACATCATCACCATGAACCTGCATGTGGTGGATGTGTTGGTGAGTACTGACCTCTATTTACATTTATCAGTTATGTTATTACCAAAGGGATTTAACATCAAGTGGTTGGTATATTAAGACTTCTGGAGCTACAGCAGTCTGCTGCCACTAGTTTATTGCTGATGGCATTGTCTGAGAGAACAATGCCATCAGCAATACATTTGTGGTAGCAGAATGCTAGAGAGGATCGATGGATCAATCAAAAATACTTTAAAAATCCCAGGGGAAAATGTGTTTTGTGACAGTTGCACCATATCAAATGGAACGCTGGGAATGTTGATGATGCAAATATTGTTGATGAAAATGTGACCCGAACAGGCAGAAATGTATCCTGCTGCAAGTAAGACCATCAGACCATAAGGTGCAGCCGTGTTTTCATTTAGCACATTAAACTACACTCCAGATATAACATTTGACTCCTAGCTAATGCTGTTAGCTCGTCCATTCCATTAGCCAGTGATCCAGGGTTGCCCATGTTAAGACAGCGGAGACACAGCTTATATATCCTTTATCCATAAATCTGGTCGCAACTCTCCTTCTTCGTTCAGCCCTGCTCTGTCCTGCTCTGTCCTCCTCCAGATTTCAGTGGGGATAGCTGTTGTTTTAACCACTATGCTCGCCTGCTTTAGCGTGATTAGCTTCTCCCTGGTGTAAACAAGGCAACCATAGGGTTTCTGTGCAACAGTGGAGTGGATGCACAACAGCAGAAAATCAATGTACAAGAAAACAAACAAATCTTTGTCTACAAGAAATATTAGAGATGTCACACCGTAATTAGTTATTAATAAAAGTTACAAATAGAAACATAACGAGTAAGATACAAAAAAAGGCTAAAAGTTAACAGTACAAATTAGCAGGAGCATCTTCAACAGACTGCATGTCGGGATGGTGCTTGCACACTAGAGCTGGAGGAGATCTCTGCTCTGCTGAGGCTCCAAGAGATACTGTAAGTTAGCTTGAGCAGCACACTAATCAACTTAGCTCCGTTCTCATTACTTTCAATTCAAATAGCTTTATTGGCATGTCAAAACATGTAGTGGCATCGCGTTGCATTATAACTGGTGCATTATAACTGGTGCTAAACAAAAAATATCAAAAAGAACGCAATGTGGGATATAACTTAAATTCCCGTCTTGTTTCAGGTGTGTATATGCTGTATCCCGCTGACAGCCGTGGTGGTGTTACTTCCTTTGGAGGCGGACACAGCCATGATCTGCTGTTTCCATGAGGCCTGCGTCTCGTTTGCAAGTGTAGCGACTGCTTCAACCATCCTGGCCATCACTGTAGACCGCTATGACATCTTAGTGCGGCCGGCCAACCGTGTGCTTACAATGGGCCGAGCTGTGGTTCTACTGGGATCCATCTGGGCTCTCTCCTTTTTCAGTTTCCTGGTTCCATTTATGGAAGTGGGATTCTTCATCAACTCTGATTCAGAGTTTGTGAACCAGACTGCAGTTGTCACAGTGTCTCATACTAATGAGTATTACACAGAGCTTGGTTTGTACTATCACCTACTAGCACAGATCCCTATATTCTTTTTTACAGCTTTAGTAATGCTAGTGACTTACTACAAGATCCTTCAGGCACTTAATATTCGCATTGGAACACGCTTTCAGCACAACCTTCCTAAAAAGAAGCAAAAGAGTAAAAACACAATCTCTTTGAGCACTGCGACTCAAGTCGAGTCTACAGACGCGTCACAGAGCAGCACAGGAGTCCGGGCAGGTGGGACTGCACCTTTGGGCATGCGAGCGTCAGTGTCCGTCATCATTGCAATAAGACGAGCAGTCAAGCGGCATCGGGAGAGACGGGAGAGGCAGAGACGGGTCTTCAAGATGTCTCTTCTCATCATCTCCACCTTCTTACTTTGCTGGACTCCAATAACCGTGCTAAACACCATCCTTCTCAGCACTGGGCCCAGTGATTTAACTGTTCGCCTCCGCTTAGGCTTCCTGGTGATGGCCTATGGAACCACTATCTTTCACCCGCTCCTCTATGCCTTCACGCGACAGAAATTCCAAAAAGTTTTGAAAAGCAAGATGAAGAAGAGGGTGGTGTCTGTAGTAGAAGCTGACCCTACACCCAACAATGTAGTCATCCATAACTCCTGGATTGACCCCAGGAGAAACAAGAAGGTCACCTTTAAGGTCATGGAAGCCAGACAAAAGTGTCTATGCTCTCACGATATCGAGTAATGGGATTAAAGTTAACTTGTCAATTATGTAAAGTAATTGGGAATTTACCTGTTAAACGGGCTTTTTTTTCACAAAACTGTGTTTCAGGGCTTCTTAAAATTTAATAAACTATGAATTAAATATTTGTACCGAAACAAAACAAGTCTCACAAGAAGCGTCTAAATGAGCCCTGAGCAGAAAAATGCTAACGCACTGAGCACAGAACTCTAGGTAGAAATAAATCGATATACTTATCGGATCTTCACAAATAAGCTTTGCTGGCAAGCTGAGATTCCACAGATTCTAGAAATATAAGTATCATCACTGAGCGATCAGAACTCGCGACAGGGGAAGCAAAACCAGACAACACACGACGTAGCTTTAGGTAGCAAAAAACGGAGATATGCTCACCTTTTGCTGTTATTCTGATCAAAAGTTGTGTTCAATGGCATTAAAACGAGAAAAACGCCAATGTGTCTGTGTCACTTTGAAAAGATTATTGATAGTCCATAATTCAATTTTTATGTAAAAAACTGAGTTTTCATATTAGCTGCTAATGATAGCTTCCAGAGTGTATGACAGCTTCCTGTTTTGGGTATTCTGGCTAGGCGTCACTCTCACTCTTTATTTGGTAACGTGTGTGTGTATGTGGAACTTGTCCTCGATTCCATTGGCTTTAGCGGTTAAAAAGAGATGTCAATCATCAAAATCGACCGAGGGGGGCCAGAGATAGGTCAAATCCACCCAAATGACCCCAGAAGTGTTTTTTCTTTTGCTAAACCTGTCTAAAAAGGTCAAATGTCACTTCTTTTGCATCAATCTTGATACAGGGTACTTATTATGTGTTATAGTTTTGATTCCTAAAGCTTTTAGTCTACCATCCCATCATTCAAGGGTGGTTTTGACTATAAGTAATGTTTCTTTTTGGACGGACACACATTTACATTTTTTTACTATGTTCNATAAACTTTTAACATGAATTCACGTCATGAACTTATGTACATGATTCATCTGGGAGGTCCTTTTGCGCCTAAGACGCTAGCGTCGTTTATATTGATTCTGACTCTTCTACATCCAACTCACTGGTTTATCATTGCTTTGAGAAAAAAGATTATTAATTTACCCCTTTTAGAAGTGAAGTTATAGTCATTTCTTCTGGGAATGTCATTTTCGAGCCTGAGACCTGGAAAACATGCTCAGGGCTTAACAGGTTAAAGGAATGTAACAGTCCATAGCACAAAAAACTGGTGTTTAGATGAAGATTATCGAAAGAGATCGAAAAATATTTTTGGAAAATCACAGGAAAAAATAATACAATGATGGAGAATATTGTATTCAACAAGTCTAACCAGCTAAATACACTTGTGCTCAATAACAATGTGGTCTGAGCAGTTCACCTAATGAATAATACGTTTCTGAAAAGATGTGTTCCTTGAGATCAGAAGAATAAAAAGATAACGTGGACGCGTTACTTTAAAATAAAAAGTGAAACAATCAGCTGAATATGTGTGAGTTAAAGGATTGCATTTAAAGTTGTTTTTTTCCTCAGTACAAAAAATGTCCCTGAAGGGTACGAGCCATGATCGATGAGTGTAATTTGTTGTTATACACTTAAGAATTACATGGAGTATATGGAGCACTGCAGAAGTGCGTAATGTTTTCTGGTTAGTGCATTATGAGACAAATGTTCATGTACAGTGATAGAGTACCTTGATATTGCTTGTCACCTCTTTGAATAAACAATTAAGAATCTGAATGCCTCTCAATGTAGATCTGGATACAGGGAGTACATCAGGCCAGAGGGGGGAGATTAACACGTGAAATGTTGTTTCTTCCCAACTTTCCCCAGTTTTGTCCTGTAGTAATTTATTTATTTATTCTGCGCTTGAAAACAATTGGATTTTCTTTTAAAAAGATATCTCTGTCCTCCGCTCGCAGGGTCACTAGGTGGCGATAAAGGTTATCAAGTAACCGCAGTTTGGGAAAATCTACAACTTTGAAGGAGTTTTACAAATCTCCAGGGTAAGGAATCTAAAACGTGTCTGTGTGTCCAGGCCACCAGTGTGAACCATAACACACACAGAGCAGCAAAGCCCTCTTGAAAAATTGTTGGAATTGTTGAACAACAAGCGACCTGGCACAGCAGAGACCAGAAGCAGATACTGTACCACCTCAAGAGCTGCAGAACACTCAGGACGCTGACCCCATTTAAAAGGTCTTTGCAGTCAATGGAATATCACCCAGGCAGTGTGTGTGTGTGTGTGTGTGTGTGTGTGTGTGTGTGTGTGTGTGTGTGTGTGTGTGTGTGTGTGTGTGTGTGTGTGTGTGTGTGTGTGTGTGAAGAAGTGGTCACAGCCTAGCAGGCGTAGGCTGTTGAAAGCACTTGCCCTTCTGATCCCCTTCTGTCACACAATGACTGTGATAACTAAGGGAAGTACTGCACAGATAGCTGTAGCGGTGGCATTCAATGCATCAATATTACTATTTGTCAGCTGACACCAGAAGGTCACAAATTCTTCTGAACCGAGCCAGCAATTGTTGGACAAAACAAACATATCATACACCTCCCAATAGTGGCATCATTATAGTCTTAAATGTACCATGAAATGGTTTAATCATGAATAACTGTGAAAGGGGGGTTGCACAAATATTTTTTATATTTTGTACCTTCTAGTCAAGGATTAAGGATTAACAACAAAGATTCACATTATTTTCAGTAGCTAGCCAATTCAAGTGCTCCTTTCATTAAATATTTAACAGGCATCCAAGAATCTGAATAAATAAATAAGTATTTGATCCCCTGCAGATTTTGTAAGTTTGCCCACTTGCAAATAAATGAACAGTCTATAATTGTAATGGTAGGTGTATATAAACAGTGAGAGTCAGAATATCTAAAAGAAAATCCAGACATTGACATTATATAAAAGATAAAAATGTAGTTGCATTTAACTGTGGGAAATAAGTATTTGATCCCCTCACAACAAACAAGGATTCTGGCTCCCACAGACCAGTTAAATAATTCCTCTAAAATTCCTTTAAAAAAGTACTCCTAATATCAACTTGTTACCTGTATAAAAGACACCTGTCCACCGAATCAACCAATCAGATTCCAACCTCTCCACCATGGACAAGAC